TTCTCTATAACACCCTTTTTGCCTGCTCTATCTCTTGTTTTTATGGCACCGGAGAGTTTGCCAGCTTCTTCCTATAGCTAGGCCAACACGATCAGCAAAAGCCTCAGGTGGGGACCCTGGATCCAGCTAGCATGACTGCACCTACCCATCCATCCTAACACCCTATAGCTAAACACCCTAAACACCCTAACACCCTAAAAACACGAGAAGAACAAGTGTAGGTAGGAGTACACATCAACCAAGCCGGGATCCGATCTGCCTGGATCGAACAGGCGACCTAAGGATATCAGCATCGCATCTTTCGATTACAGTCCTTCGCTCTTCCAGCTGAGCTAAGATCGGGAGCATGGTGCTCAACGCGTATCGAGACCAGGTTTCGATCCTGGGACCTCGGGGTTATGAGCCCCGCACGCTTCCGCTGCGCCATCTCGATTCTCATGTGCACACCTACCTTCAACTCTCGCCACAACTCGTGGATCGTGGATGCCCGACAAACAGCTCCAACCAAACCGAGTAGAGCCTTTGCCCTAAGGATGAACCTATGGCATAATGTAACAATAATAATGGCCATGATTATCGCCCAACATGCAATAAGGGATGAAAGTGTCGAGGACAGCTTATTATCTTCAGAATTGTGTTATGTTATATATGTGTATGCAGCCCCTATCTAGAGATGTGTAGAGTTTTTGAATCCCTATATGTATTGCCTGTCTGTTCTGAAACCGACTTTGAGCATGTGATTTTGGCGTTGTCTACCATCCCTTCTTTCCTGGAGCCCACTTCAGATATGCTCTGGCACATGTCTTGTACTGTACAAGTTGTACTCTGTTTTGGCTTGGATTCAATGACACCAAGGTTCATCCCATGGATTTGAAGTGTCATCATAATGTGCTGAGTGGGAATTGAGCCTGCAACATCACAACCACCAATCCTCTATCACAATGATAAACTTTTACAACCCCCCCCCTTGGACTTCAATGTTGTCCAGAATGTAACATATACATAAAAGTGAGCACAAGGATGGGGACCACCTCTGGGAGCCAAGGGGGCCCATGGATGGTCAGAAGCCATTACGGTGGTGCTCAGCATGGATCTTGAGATCCTCTAGAGGATCTCCCGCTCCCCTGGGCTCGATGCGCCTGCGTGTGATGTACCCAGTCTGTGATGTCCAAGACCTCCTCGAGAAAACAATTGCAAGCCGCTGCAATAGGTCGGCGACATACACATACACATGGTATGTGCATGTCCAAATGTTTGTGCATGTACATGCACCTAGACACATGTGTTTATGTGTTTATGTGTGTGTGTGCGTGTGTGTGTGTGTGTGTGTGTCTGCTGGATACATGTATTCTAATCCAACGAGTGTATGGTGCTCCCTACAAATCTCTTAATCATGGAGCTATGGATTTGGTGCTAGCACCTTTGAATGCAAGCTAAGGTCGGTTATGATGGATGGAGAGCTGTACTTGCACTACTGCACTCACAGAGTGCACTAATAAAAAAACCTGGCATATGTAATCCTGTTTGTGGCCAGCCGTGTACACGCATGACGATGGATGACATATGTACACATATACATGCATACACATATGCTGTATTGCACTTTATTTGCAGTCCCTCACTTGTTTGCTTGTCTCCCTGCTGTGTGCGTGTGCCTTTGCATCTATTTGCACAGGACAGAGCACTTTAAAGTTCACTACACCATAGCATTCATTCCTTCCTGCCTGGGTGTTATTGGCATGCAACAATGCACCTAATACCCAGGACATACACCTGGACCTGCAACCAGCACACACGCGCTTCGGGCATGTGGGACAACAAATTCGAAGTAGGTATGGAGGATCGCGCACATGCATGGGGGCGTGCATGCACAAATGAAGGCAGTGAGATGCCTGTGGTTCACCGTAGAATGCTTCAAAACATGCGAGTCACTGCTGCACCAGCCGAGAATCGAACTCGGGTCAGGTCCGTGGCAAGGACCTATGCTACCACTATACCACTGGTGCTCTGTAAGACACGGGAACTGCCCGAGTGAACACCACTGCACACAACTATATCAAGAGTTACACACATGCAGACATACAATGTGCACAGAATCACGTGTTCTATATACCTAGGTATATGGGTATGCCTCTCTGGTGCCCGTAATAGGTTTGTCTGAGGGAGCACCAGTGGTGTCGTGGTTGCATATATGGGTCCTTTGCCGCAGACTAGACTCGAGTTTATCCTCGACTGGTGCACAAAAACATGCATGTTTTGTAGCATTGTACGGTGGGCCGCTGGCTTCTCAGCATTGCCTTGATTATTGGATGTGCTCTATCCACCTAGTTTGTTGTTCCATATGCCTGAAGCACATGTGTGTTGGTAGCAGGTCCAGGTGCATGTCCGAGGTAATGTGTGCTTTGCCACATGCCAATAACACCCAGGCAGGAAGGGATGAATGCTCTGGCATATTGAACTGTAAAGTGCTCTGTCCTGCGCCATAATAGACGCAAAGACATAAGTACACAGCAGGGAGATGGGGAATGAGGAA